AATGAGAAATATATATATATATGTGTGTGTGTGTGTGTGTGTGTGTGTGTGTGTGTGTGTGTGTGTATCATAAAGTTTTTGAAGTACAGTTATATTTGAAAACGAGTTACATCCTCTATAGAGAACAATATCTGATTTTCTATAAATGTAATAAGTTGTGTATACACAACTTATACTATTTGCTGAACTGAACTGAAATAATAATAATAACATGACAGATCAATGTTATACAAAGCTCATCTGTTATACAATTCTATATATTTTCTTTATTCATGATTTTTCTGTAAATGTTTCTATAAACATTGCACTTTGGCCCCACAAGACAAAATGTTTGACCCTTTTCTCTCTTTATTTGATTCCATAACTGAGATAACATTTTTTAATTAAGATACAATAAATTTGCAACAGATGCACAGAAAATTGTGCACTATCTTGTGATTTCAGTCTGAACATATTATTCTTATGTATCGTCTCACTGGTAGTTATTTGCATATGAGTTATTTGATTTGTAATGACCCATAACAATGTCATCTCTCCACAGAACTAATCTGAGAAATAGCCCTTGTTAAATGTGTTAAAAGAGCTAAATGTGTTAATGCTTTGCTAGACTTAGTAAAAAGTAAAAAATTCCAGCTTTACAATAAATCAATGTATAAATTCTAGATATGCAATTTTTTCTCCAAGTTTTTGTCCTAAAAGTAGCCAATGTACCTTAAAAAACAGAGCTCACAAAATGTTAAATAGCAACAAAAAATATTCAATTCAGGTAATTTTAAAAATTAATTCTAACTTTTAAGACTTTCTTTTTTTCAGGTGAAACATGACTGTTGCATGTATGCCTTACAATTCTGAGTTCACAAAAACATTCATATAACGTTAAGAAAACAATGATCTGTTCGGATAATAAGTTTCAATTCATTTTAAATTTTAAAATTTACTTTTAGTAAAAAACATTTTGACTTAAAAAAGTAGCCTGTATGCCTCAGAATTTTGAGTTCATAAACTGTTCAAATAGCAGCCTAACAGTCCTAATCTGTAACAACAGTTTACAAAAACGATTTCATTCTAAATTTCAAGAATTTTATAGAATTTTAGAACTTTTTAGAACTTTTAGAATTTTAGGTGTTTTAAAATGTGTTTTACAGTAGCTTTAGGACAGAGTTGCAGAATTTATCTGAGTTCAG